TTTACAATTAGTGACTTCCTTTGGCTAACTAGTGAAATACAAGAAGTAAGTTCATTAAAGCAAGAAACAGACAAGAATCCCTGATACTGTCAGTTCTTTTTTTTTTTTTTAAATAATAATTACACCACCTTTTTTTTACATTTTTTTATTTTTCTGGTACCAGGAATTGAACTCATGACCTCATGCTTGCTAGGCAGGTGCTGTGCCACTGAGCTAAATCCCCAGCCCAAGATCAGTTTTGATTTTTTTTGTTTGTTTGTTTTTCTTCTGGTACCAGGAATCAAACTCATGACCTTGCACTTACCAGGCAGGCGCTTTGCCACTGAGCTAAATCCCCACCCCCTGTCAGTTCTATCTAACAATGGCTGTAGAGATGCTAGACAATGCAACAAGAAAAGATAAGGATTAAAAAAAGAAAAGGTAAAGATTAATAATGATGCATGTTTGAATATTGCTAAGAGATTAGATCTTAAATGTTCTTGCCATTAAAAAGTGGTAAGAATATGAGGTAGCTATACTAGTTAGTTTAGTTTGACTTAATCATTTCACAGTGTATACATATATGAAAACATCATGTGCACTGTAAGTATATTTATATGCACATTCCTTCCCATTTATTTATGAGAAGGAAGAGACACATACAAACGAGCTGAATTATCATTCCTCTCATTGCCCTTCTGTGTCCTGTTATCTCAACAGTGTGCGTTTTCTTCCTAAAGTTTTGTGTGCAGATAGGAAGGTTCTCAAAAGCTCTACCTCACCAAGAGGTTGGTACAAGGCATCCCTGCTATGTAAGCTTTTGTATTGGTCAGTGGGGGCACCAAGATGTGGGAGCCATTGTCCCACCTCTGCAGAAACTCAGAGTCTGTGCATTATTATGGTTGAGTGAAGTTGAGACTAATAGTCTTGTGTGCAAATGGCTACTGGAACATGGAGTCAGAGTCTGAGAAGTTTTCACCAGTGAAGTGCCACTTGAATTGAGTCTTAAAGAATGAGTTTTTATAGCTGAGGAAAAAGAGAATAGGGTTAAATACTCCCAAGTCTTTAGAGCTTCCATGTGGAGGTGATACATACCATGTCTGTTCATGTTCCTTTAGCAAGTCACGTGGTGATGCCTAAGTTGAAGTGGGAGGGAAGGTACAAGTCTACCATGTGTCAGGAAGAAGATTCATGATCAGACCTGAAACCTATATAGTTAGCTCTTCTGCCACGGTTGTTTTTCAAGGGCTTGGTCATTTTGATTCACAGGCAACATATTTCCCAGTTAAAGGAACCACAGGTAGAGTGGGGCTCATTTCCTTCAGGAATGCCATGGGTAAGTAAGACTTTTTGTTTGCTTGTTTTTGAGGCAGGGTCTTGCTGTATAGTTCAGACTGGCCTTGAGCTCATTATGTAGCCTAGGCTGGCCTCAAACTTGCAGTGATCTGCCTGCCTCAGCCTCCCAAGTACTGGGATCACAGGCATGCACCACCCCATCTGGTAGTAGACACGTCTTGTATTAACCAGGTTTTTTTGGTAGTTTGTTTTGTTTTGTTTTTGCAAGTGGATGCTTTGCCATCTGGAGTCTTGCAGACACAGAGGGACTCTCCCTTCTGGGATTAGCCAATTCCTAGAAATAGCACACAACTTGCCTGCGAGCATACTTTTCAAAAGTAAACCATACCATTCAGACCCTCCACCTCCAACTACCTTCTTTATTGAGCTCTTACACTCTGTGTTATTATCTACCTGCCCCAATCACCCAGAGTGGGTACCAGGCAATGAGGGGCAGGCCCTAACCTCAGATCCACCAACATATTCAAATTAGCCACTCCTAAACCTGCTTACACTGCCTGCCTGTTCCTTCCTGTGGAAGCCACAGTAAAGGCTCTTACCCACAGTTCACCCCTCTTCCTCTGCCTCTTGGCTGACCCCAGGGGTTCCCCATGTGGATCCCCTTGGATGGTCTGCAACCCTCCCTCTTGGGAATACTGCACATACCCAGCTATATTTTCCATGGTAGTCATCTTCTAATCTGTTGGCTTTGCCACATGTAAATAACAATAAAATGTACTAAAACATATCTACATTTTGATTGTCAGCTATTGATGGCACAAGAAGCTAAATGCTGCAAGACATGCAATCAGAGGCTCTGGGTCCTCAAACAGCGCTACGGCAGGCAGGGCATAGCCAAGCTGGCCTGAGTCAACTTGTACACTGGTGAGACCTGAGACTCCCCTCTCACAGATTCCTCTGGAGGTCACAATGAAGAGAGAATTGGTCTCAAGTGACCCTGAAGACAACGCATGAAGCTATGGTTCTTCTTTAGGGAAACCCAGTGGTCAACTTTCTATGTGAGCAACTGCCAACACAAAAGGGCAAGGCAAAGCTCTGGGGCCTGCATGGCTTCCCTCTTGGACCTCACTATCAGACTTTCCAGATGCTTCTGTGGTGCTGACTGGTTCCTCAGGGAAGGGAGTGGGTGTAGGGCACTGGCAGGTTGATGGCTGCTGCAGCTGCCAGACTCTAGGGACGCTTGGTGACTGCCTGCAGCTGACTCAGATGGACACTGTTTCACAGCTCTGGCCAGAGTTGGTGAGACCACGACAAGCAGTGGGAAGTGTTCCAGGTGAGATCTCCAGGCGTGGTTATAGTTTTGGCTCCGTTTACTCTGGAGTGTTGAACTCCCCTCATTGGCTCATTCTTTTCATCTGTAAAATGTCCAGAGCAGTCTTATTTCCTGACAAAGACAGTCTTTGTGAAGACTGCTCCCCCAACCTACCATAGAGGTGTCTACAAAATACAAAACAAAATTAAAAGGCACAGCAAGCATTATGACAGATTCCTTCTGAGATCAGGATGGAGACAAGGATCCCTGCTATTATTACTTCTTTCCAACAGCGTATGGCAATACTAACCAGCAAAACAAGGCAAGAAAACAAATGAAATGTATAAGGATTGAGGAGAGAAAACAAATCATTGTTACAGATGAAATAGAAAATGGTGTACTTTGAAAAGCTGAAGAATCTATACATAAACTGTTAGAATTAATAAGTAGTTTTACTGGTATGGCTGAGTGCAAGACCATTACTTAAACATCAGTTTTTATTAAGTTCCAGATCTACATTGCTGAGTAACAGATGACCCCAAAACACCATGGCTTAAAATAATGATAATACTTATAGTTTCTCATGGTTTCTGGAAATTTTAGATTTAGAAAGGGCTCAGCTGTGCATTTTAGGAGTGCATGTGTTGCAATCAAGCAATAGAAAGAACTGGAACAGGAGGAGTTGACTCAGCTGAGGGCTAGCTAGGTATCTTTCCCCTCTTTATTCAGTCTCAGGGTCTCTGTGTATAGCTTCCCTGTGGGGGTCAGTTTGTATTTCTTCAAAGTGTAGCAGCCTAAGATTTCTTCTATAATGGTTTAGGGCTCTAGAGACAAGAATTCCAAGACAGGCAGCCAAGCAGAAGCTGTGCCAATTTTTATTTCTAGTTTTAGAAGTCATACAGTAACATTTCTGCCACACTGTTAAAAAACAAAACAAGGGGCTGGGGATTTAGCTCAGCGGCAAAGCGCCTGCCTGGCAAGCGCAAGGTCATGAGTTCGGTTCCCGGTACCAGAGAAAAACCAAAAAACAAAACAAAACAAAACAAAACATTTACTAAGACTAACCTTTCCAAAGGAGATGGTTACTAGACTCCAACTGGTCTACGGACTTGTAAAACCGCTACACTGCACTGGCAACAACAAAGTAATCATTAACGGTAGCATAAAAATATAAAATACTGAAGTCTAAATCTAATAGATCTCTACATAGACAACTACAAAACACTGCTCAAAGAACTACTTTAAAAACCTTAAATAAATGAAGGGACATACCATGTTCATGGATAAGAATTCATGTTGTAAGTGCCAATTTTATACAAACTGATCTAAAGATTCACTGCGACAGCCATCAAAATCCCAGTAATATCATATGAGTAAATAAACAAATAAGCTGATTTAAAAGTTACTACAAAAGTGCAAAAGTTTCTGATTTAAAGGTTTCTACAAAAGCACAAGGCAGTCTTAAAGAACAAAGTGGGTGGGCTTACTCTATAGGACATTAGGACATTATAAAACTGTTGTGATCCAGATGGTGTGATAATAGCATAAGGGGAGAAAAACAGGCTAGCAGAACAAAAACAGAGGTTCAGAAACAGTCCCATGTTCATATGGATTTCTCGATTTATGACAAAGCACTGCAGAGAAGTTGGGGGTGTGTGCATGGTTTTTTCAGTGAATAGTACCTTTTGGTTGGAAAAAAAGGAGAAGGGCCAATGGGAAATTCTTTTTGATAAGGTGTGGCACTGTGTTTCTAGGGACAGTTCCTACTGAAGTTTATTTAGAAGTTCTCTCTTTTCAGACTGTAATTTTGCTCAGTTGTCCCCAAAACTTCAACGAAAGCCTGTTTCCCACACCCATCTTGTGTTCCTGCATTTTTAGGGTCACAAATAGCTCTAGACCAGCACGGGGGAAGCCAAGCAGTAATTGGGAGCTAAGTTACAGATGAAATAGGGTCCTGAATGCCAAGAGGTTGAAGGCCTTTTCTCCACAAAGCACCCCATGTCCTACTGCCACACAAGAATCAGTTCTGGCTGACTTCTGCCACCTGGCCCCGCCCAGGCACACACCAGAGGTGCTGATAGGTAGAGCTGTGAGTGGAAGTGAGAGAGTGGACACCACTGGTGCAGACAAATTCTTGCAGGAGAAGGGATAAGCAAGTCTAGCAGCCAGTAAGCATTGTGTGAGGAATCCGGGATTCCCTCTCTCCCCTTCAGGGAAGCCGGTTCACAGTCACCTCTGTGGCCTATCATCGGAGCCACTCACTTTCCTTTTCTCACTCCAGTGGGCTGTAAGTGGAAGCAAACTCTAGACCCCTACTCAGAGCTCTGGTCTCTAGGCCACTCCCATGGCCCTCCCCTTCCCATCGTCAACGAGGGACGGCTCCTTCCCCTTTCAAGGGCTTTCAATTCTGGATCCTTTGAGGCAGTGCAGCCCACTCGCCTGATACTCTTTTACTGAAATCGCAGATCCTGCCTCAGTTTCCCATACGCAAAATGACCGATTGAGCTTATTCTCCCCCACCCCCACCCGGGGCCTTCTCGCGGTAACTCAGTGCAGCCTGGACAAGCAGAGAGGGCGTCCTAAGAGCAGCTGAGCCGCGTCCCCCAGGTAAGGCAGCACCCATCTCCTAAACTTGCTATCGCCACCTTCTCTCCCCCGCCGCCACGCCGCTTGGGGGCCGGCGCCGCCCCAAAATTTAGGGCGGGGAAGTGTCCCACATCTGGAGAGGGGTGCCATACCGGCCTCTCCTTCCTCTCCCTAGGTGGCGAAAGGTGGGACAGGAGAGGGCCGTCTGGACAGCCGCATATCCCGCGCGGGACCTCGGCGGTGGGGCTCGGGGGTGGGGGCCCCGCAGGCCGCCCAGTGGGGAGGACGGACTAACACGCGGTGAGCGCCCGGGCCCCCTGCCCTCGGCGGCGCCCGCGGCCGGAAC